AAATTCTTCGCCGAGGCGAAAACTTCCTAGAGTACAAGGCTTTCTCTTCGCCCCGGCGAAATGCCTTAGCCCAAATTTTCACCAAATCATTCAGTTCTTCGCCGCGGCGAAGACACTTTCTTCGCCGAGGCGAAAATGTCCAAGAGCTTACCTGGTTTTCTTAGTCTCTTCGCGCGGCGAAGTCTGGAAATTTTATACCTTCTTTGGCTCAAGACTTCACCTGAAACACACCAAAACATAAAAATCACAAAACTCATAATGAAATTAATAAATTCGAACAACCAAAATTAAAAACAAAAATTAAGAACACTGGTTGCCTCCCAAGAGCGCTTATTTATAGTCGAAAGCTCGATCTTTGCAATCTCACAGTTGGGATTTCAAGCCGGATTGGGATGAACTTGCAACTCATCACCCCCTCAATGTATGCTTCAACCTTTGTCCATTAAATGAAAGTGCCTTTTTCTCATGTGTGACTTCCACTGCTCCGGATGCACGTATCTTCCTAATAGTGAATGGTCCGGACCATCTAGACTTAAGTTTTCGGGGAAAAGCCTAAGTCTAGAGTTGAACAAAATACCTTCTACCAACTTCAAGCCTTGACCCGGATGTGCTTGTCGTGCACCTTTTTGTCTTCTCTTATAATTCTGGCATTTTCATATGCTCGAGACGAAACTCATCAAGCTCGTTCAAAGTCAGCATTCTCTCCTCTTCCGCGGCTTTCAAGTCTATGTTAAACTGTTGGACAGCCCAGTATGCCTTATGTTCAAGTCTATCTAACAAGTGGCACGCTTTCCCATAAACCATTTGAACGGAGACATACCATTGGGTTTTAAAGGCAGTGCGATAGCCATAAAGACATCGTCCAACTTCCGTGACCAATCCTTCCTCGAGCATTAAACTGTTTTTTTCTAAAATCCCCTTTAGTTCTCTATTCGACAGTTCCACTTGCCCGCTCGTTTGTGGATGGTAGGGTGTTGCAACTCTATGTTCACTCCATACTTACTCAGCAATGCATCCATTTGCCTATTGCAAAATGCGATCCTCCATCACTAATGATTGCTCGTGGTACCCACAACCTTGAGAAAATATTCTTCCTCACAAAATTAATCACCACCCTAGCATCATTAGTTGGCGTGCAACTGCCTCAAACCATTCGACACATAATCCACCGCTACCAAGATATACGTGTTCCCAAAAGAACTTGGGAAAGGAGCCATGAAATCAATCCCCAAACGTCAAAAATTTCAACCACCAGGATGTTGTTCAACGACATCTCATCTCTTTTTGAAATATTTTCCCATCCGTTGACCTTGGCACCACTTTTGAATCATCCGAACGAATCCTAAGAGGGTTGGCCAATAAAACCCAGATTGTAGCACCTTCGCTGCTGTTCTAGCTCCCCCAAAATGGCACCTACCTTCTCTTCTCATGACATGCCTTAAAATGCTCTCCATTTTCTTCCTCTGGGACACATCTCCATATCATTTGATCAGTACAGTGTCTGTACAGGAACGGCTCTTCCAAAAGTAGTACTTTAAATCGAGAAAAATTTTCTTTTGTTGAAAGTCATACCACTTGGGAGCACCCTTGTGATAATAATTTGCAAAATCGCATACCATGGGCTTCTTCCACTCTCATCAGCTTCTCATCGGAAATTGTTTCTCTAATTGGCATTTCCACCTATTTCCCTTGATTGGTCTCTCAATTCTCGACAAGTGATCAGCTACCACATTTTCTGACCCCTTCTTGTCTCGAATTTCCAACTCAACTCTTGAAGTAGTAAAATCATCTTATCAACCGAGGTTTTGCTTCTGCTTCGCCAGTGTGGTGTGAGTGTGAATGGTCCGTGTAAACATCAACTTGCACCTAATAAGTAAGACGAAACTTGTCAAAAGCAAACACCACAGCCAATAATTCTTTTCAGTGGTGGTGTAATTCAGTGTGCATCAACGAGTGTCTTGCTAGCTACTGAATTACATGCACACTTTATTTTTTTCGTCCTAATACTACCCCTAAAGCAAGTCAATCATCACACATTAGTTCAAAGGGAAGTCCCCAATCGGGAACTGCATAATAAGTGCAGATACTAGTAATTTTTCAGAGATTAGGAAAGCATGCATGCAATCATCATTAAAATCAAAAACAACATTTTATTCAATAGATTGCAAAGGGGTTTAAGATCTTAGAAAAATCCTTGATGAAGCGTCTGTAAAAACAAGCATGCCCCAAGAAACTTTGGACTGCTTTGACATTTGATGGTGGTGGTAGCTTCAATCACTTGTCATTGGTCGATCAACTTCAATCCCATTCTTGGAAATCTATGCCGAGCACTATTCCTCTTGGACATGAAGTGGCAATTCTCCCAATTCAACACCAAGTTGTTCTTACATCGCTGCAAAACAAGAGACAGATTTGTTAGGCAATTATCAAATGATGATCCAAAAACTGAGAAGTCATCCATGAAGACTTCTAAAACCGTTCCACCATGTCTCCAAAGATTGACATATGCATCTTTGGAATGTTGCTGGTGCATTGCAACCCAAATGCATCCGTCTGTAAGCAAAAGTGCCGTAGGGACAAGTGAGGTCCTTTTCCTTGATCCTCAGGAGCGATGGCCATTTGTTATAACCTGAATACCATCCAGAAAACAATAGTAGGATGTCCTGCCAACCTCTCTAACATGATAATGAAGGGTATGGGAAATGATCCTTCCTTGTCGCCTCATTAGTTACGGTAATCGATGCATACTCTCAGCCCGTCACCGTCTCTCTGGAATCAACTCATTACTCCTCATTCTTCACTACCGTGATCCCTCTTTCTTCGGGACCACTTGTACCGGGCTCACCCATGGACTATCCGAAATCGGATAAATAATCCCCGCATCTAAGAGTTTCACCCTCTTTCTCACCACTTCCTTCATTGAAGGATTCAATCTCCGTTGTGGGTGTACCCTAGGCTTAATGTCATCCTCATGAGAATCTTATGATGCAAAATGAGGGGAGATACCTCTAAGTCCGAAGGTCCATCCAATTGCTAGTATATGTTCCCTCAACACTCTGATCAACCTTCCCTCTAAGGCATTAAATTTGCACTAATAATCACCGGAAAAGTTTCTGAGTCTCCAAGAAGACATATTTGAGGTGAGGCGTAAAGGTTTCAGTTAAGCCTTGGAGCTTCTTCATTATTTTCTTTGCCCTCTTTTTGTCAAAATCAAACTCCTCAAATCTACATCTTGACTCTCCTCAATGGTGACGTGCTTTAACATCCTAGCATAATAACCACAGTCGTATTCCCACCTCTACTGTTTTTGTTTGGCTATACAACGTTCTAGAGGTAATTCAGGGGTGTTTTCTTCCATGGATTTATAACAAGTTCACTCACCACATCGACACTAAAGCATGAATCCAATTCAGACGGAAACTTCATTGCATCAAAAAAATTGAAAGTTACTGTTTCATCTTGAACCCTTAACAGCAATTTTCCTTCCTGCACATTCAATCAGTGTCTCCCCGTGGCCAAGAATGGTCGGCCAAAATGAGAGGAATCTCCTTATCCTCTTCCATGTCCAACACACAAAGTCCGCTGGAAAAATTATCTTCCCCACCTTCACTAATACATCTTCAACTATCCCCTCGGGTGCTTTATCGACCTATCCGCTACTTGCAACGACATTGTCGTTGGCTTCACTTCACCAATTCCCAAATCTCTAAAAAACAGAAAAGGGCATCAAATTTAACTAGCTCCTAGATCACATAGAACAAGATCAAAGTAATATCCCTATAACACAGGAATAGTAAAACCCTGGATCTTTGAGTTCGGGGGTAATTTCTTCTGGAGGATTGCACTGCACTCTTCTGTGAGCATCACCGTTTCCTCATCTTCTATTTCCTTCACGGAATCACATAACTTGGCATTTGCTGTTGTAATGCATTGCAAAAGGAATGTAATATGCAATTTTTTTAAAAATTCAATGAACTTTGAAAATTGCTTATCCTGATTCTTTTTCTTCAATCTCTGAGGAAAAGGCACGGGTGGGGTGTGATGTGCCAATTCTGGTGGTATCTCGGGGAATGGCAATTTCTCCTTCTTCTTTTGCCTTCTTCCTCTTTCTTTTTCCTTCCCCAAATCACCTGATTTCTCTTCACAACATGATCTCTTCATCAATTCTCTCTTCAAAATCTTCCTTCTGGTTTGCTCCACCTCTTTGGTAGTGTGGCCTACCTCTTCCAAAACTGTTCCACTCTCAAAATTATGGCATTTGCTTGTTCACGTGGGTTGGTTACGGTATTGCTGGAGGAACCCTGGGTCTATCATTTAGCTTCTCGGCCAATTGGCCCATATGTACCTCAAGATTCCGAATGGACGCCCCTGGTTTCAAAGTTTGTCCTCGTCTCATTCATGAATCCAGTGGTTCTTGCATGAATTTACCAAACATATCCTCCAACTTCGACTCTTTAATCTCCCGGTTGATTGGTCACCCTGGTTTGGTTATTTGGGACTTGTCTTGTTCCATTGGTTACCTGTTGGGTTGATTTCCCCAAGCAGATATTAGGTGATTTCTCAACCCGGATTAGATGTGTTGGAAAATGGTTGTTCGGTTGTCTCTGATTTCCTGCCACCGTAGTTCACTGCTCCCTTGATGAAGATGTTGAAGCAAACGTGTTCCCAACTTGACACTCGCTGCCCACATGGTTTCAGCAAAAAATTCAATGTTAGTTGAGGTGCTTGTATAGAATTTCCTGCATAGTTCCCAACTGTTTTTGAAGTGCGGTGAGTTGGGCTGAGATGGCTGTGAAAGCATCAACTTCATGAAGAACAAGGATTTCCTCGTTGTAAACTCTCCATTCGGTCTTGATATGTGTTGCTTACCAAAAAATCAAGTAACTCATACGCTTCCTCTGGTGTCTTATTCTGCAAGGCCCTCCTGATGCTGCATCAGCCATGTTTGCACATTACCCATCAAACCATTATAGAATGTTTGGACTTGAAGCCAAACTGGCAAACCATGATGTGGGCACTTCCTCATTAATTCCTTGGATCTCTCCCAAGCTCGTACAACGACCGGCATCATCTTATAAAATGATGTGATATCATTTCTCAATTTCGTGACTTGTGGAGGAAAGAATTGGTCAGGAATTTCTGTGCTAGATCATTCCACGTTGTTATTGTTCTCGGTGGTAATGCCATTAACCACCCCTTTGCTTTATCTCCCAATGAGAATGGGAATAAACGTAGCCAATAGCATCATCTGACACTCCATTGACTTGAAGGTGTCGCAAATTTCAGGAAATTTGCAATGTGCTGATTCGGATCCTCCTTCAAATCACCGTTGAATCTAACCGATTGCTGATCACTGGATGATCGCCAGCTTGATTCGAAGTTAGTGCTGACTGTAGGTCTAGTAATACTTGACCCACTTCCATTCACTGTGGGAACTGAAAATTCCTCAGTGTCCTGTTTTCTTATTCAGCCATTTCAACAACAGCTTCTTCCGATTCTGCAGTAAGATATCTCTTTCTTCTCTCTTGTTAGTCTTCTTACAGTCCTCTCAAGCTCAAGGTCAACAGGAACCCATGGTTGCGTCTTGCTCTTCGCATAAATGAACGAACACAAGTGAAAGAAAAGTGAGATCACAACTCAATGAAAATTAAAAACAAAAATTAAAACTCAATCTAGCTAAACTTAAGGAAAAACTCAATGTTAACTTAAAAACAGTCCCCGGCAACGGTGCCAAAAACTTGATGCGTATTTCTTACAACATGCAAACTAGCAAGTGCACTAGTCGCTCAAGTAATAAAGTGATGGGTAGGTATCGTTCCACGAGGATATAGCAAAGCACTAAGTTTCCAACGTTCTAGGTTGAAGCAATCGATTCCTGGATTGGTGGGAGCAAATTTTAATGAAAAAGACAATGAATTTTAGAATAAGAATTAAATCTTAATTAGAAGCAGATGAAAACACTGAATATCAATTCAAGCTAAACGGGTAGGGTTTTGACTTCGTTTGGATTTGTATGGGTTAAACTATAAATTACACATAGTTCACATTCATGCGCAATGGTTGTAAATCGAATTCACTAATATGTTAAACATACCTCTCGGGCTATGTTTTCCTATTCATCCTATAACATTCCGCACCCAACAAATTGAAGGTAATAATTCTAAATTCATTCAGCGCAAGAATCCTAAATTGATTCATTAATTCTGAATCTATCTCTAGCATCAATACTATAATGGTGATTACCCAAGAAGCCTAACATGAATTATTTCCAATCCTCATGTTCATCACATACAGCATTCAATTTCAGAGTAACACACAACCAAAGCTTATTCACATGGAAATAACACAATCAAACACTTAACCTATTTAAAATCCAAACTACAATCAAAACCCTAACCCATAAAAGATAGTTCATAGCTAAATTAATACTATAAAAACGAAAAACAGAAGTAAAAACAGTTAAGCATAATGAAATTGAGATGAAGAAAAGAAATCTCCCCAAAGATGAATCTTCCAGTCAAAATCCGAATCTTCTCCCTTAAACAATCCGACAAACTCAAAGTTTTTACTCTAAGAAAAGTTGTAAACGGCTAAACCTAAAAAGCTCAGATCCTTTGGCAAAAGGTTAAGTTTTCTTTTAGCTTGTCCAAAAACCCAGCCAAAACACGACAACACGAAACTGTGCGTTTAACAAAACTGAATAAATTGATATCACCGCGGCGAAGAGTGAAGAAATCCCCATCGTCTCTGGCTTAATCGATGCGGCGAAGACAATTCTTCGCCGGGGTGAAGCTCCTTGAAAGTTCTGAAATATAGAATAACACTCTGCTGCTTCTTCGTTCGATTCTTGATCTTGGCTCTCTTCTTTTGGGAACAAGCTTCATCGTGCTTTGTCCTGCTCCGGAACTCTCTATCTTCTGAGATCCGCTAATTTCTGAGTCAAAACATCCAATTTTGTCTTTATTTGCTCAAAAAGTCCATTTTTAATCTGAAACACGAAAAGTAAAGAATTAAGCAACAATTCAGGTCAAAATGCACTAGAAAGTACTTGAAATCCGACAAAAAGATCTAATAAAAACTGTATAATTTACGGATTATCACTAACACTGGAGCTGTTGTAACCTCTTCTTAACTCTTGGAAACATTCCTCACAAGCTTTTGACCATATAAAAGGAGTCTTCTGTTTGGTAAGAGCTGTCAATGGTTTAGCCAACTAGGCGAACCCTTCAACAAATTGTCTGTAATAACCTGCCAGGCCTAATAAACTTCAGACCTCTTTACTGTCTTCGGTCTCTGTCATTCAAGGATTGCTTTTATCTTGCTCGGATCTACTGAAATCCCTTCCTTCGACACGTATGGCCACAAATATCACTTGATCGAGCCAAAACTCACACTTCGAAAATTTAGCATACAACTGCCTTTCTCTCAAAACCGTTTGCAACATATTCTCAAATGTTCCTCATGCTCCTCTCTCGACTTAGAGTAAACCAGGAATCATCTATGAAAACCAGTTGAATTGATCCAAGCAATCATGGAATACCCGGTCCATCAAGTCCATAAAAACGGCGGGGCATTAGTCAAACCAAACAGCATCACTACAAACTATAATGCCCATACCTGTAGAAAAGCAGTCTTAGCTACATCCTGTTCAGCCACTCTTACCTGATGTACCCTGACCTCAAATCAATTGGAGAACACTGCTGCTCCCTTCAACTGATCAAACAAGTCATCTATTCAGAGGTAAGGTACTTATTCTTCACTGGCACTTATTCAATTCTCTATTACAATACACATCCATAGTGATCCATCTTTCTTCTCCCAAACAAAATTGGGGCTCCCCAGGGAGAATGACTTGGTCGGATAAAGCCTTTATCTAAAAGCTCCTGAAGTTGTTTCTTTAATTCTTGAAGCTCTGCTGGGGCCATTTGGTAAGGGGCTTTAGATATAGGTGCTGTTCTTGGTGCAAGTTCATACTAAACTCAACCTTCTTTCCGGCGGCAGCCTGGTAAGTCTTCGGAAACACATCCAGAAATTCTCGAACTATCGGCACCTCTGAATTTCTGACTGTGGAACATCACCACTTGTACTACATGAGCAAGTGATCAGAGCACCCCTTTCTCAACATCTTCCTAGCTTTACACTACTGATCAACATACTCAACCGATGGCCCTCTCCAAAAGTAAACTATCTCATTACGAGATTAAATCTCGTCTTCTTTTTCCGACAATCAATTTCTACTCAATTCTCCCTAGGAAATCCATGCCCAAATCAACACAAAGTCGGGCATATCGAAGACTATTAAGTCAACTACAATCTCGACCATGGATCACCACAGACTCTCCCATCAACTCTTTGAGTCACACACTACCCCATACGGGCAACTCTATCTTAAGGGCGCGACTCACTTTAACGGTTTCAAATTTAATCTCTCTATCATTCCATGAGATATAAAAGAATGAGTGGCTCCAGAATCAATCAAAACATATAAAGACACAGCATGAAATAACAACTGACCAGTTACGACTGATGGACTGGCCTCGGCCTCACCCTGTGCCACGTAAAAACCCTAGCATTTGTACCTCTAGGGATCTGAACCATCGATGGAAGGGGAGCTTTACAATCCCTCCACATATCCTGACTGTCGGCACTGTAACACACGTTTTGATCCTCCAAACACTCTCCTGAATGGGTCCTCCCACATTAACACAAGGGGGAAAACCTTCTGTCCTGGGCCGTTGGATTGTTGCCCTCTCCTATTTTCCTTGGTTGAAACTTCTTCTTGGCCCTGACTCTCTGTTCTTTGTGGCATCTATCTCTCCCTCTGAAGGTGGGGATGGCTCACTAGGTACTGTTAGAGCCAACCTTCTGCAATATATTGTTCACATAGATCTCTGCCCTTAAAGCCCGTGCTAGAGCTTCACTATAGGTATGAGGGGTGGTACTCCTGTCATTACATCTCGAGCAAAATCTGATCTCAACCCTTGCACAAACTTGTTTCTCCTTAATTCCAGTGTATACACTATCCCGGGTGCAAAGCAAGCAAGGGAGTTGATCTTACGAATATTCCTTTACAGTACTAGTCCCCTGCTTCAGGTGAATAAACTCTGGACTTTTATGTACTCGATCTTCTGTTCAGTACTCAGCCTCAAACAACACCTTCTGAACCCTCCCAGGTCATCGAGGTATATCGTGAGTCTCCTCCATAATTCCACCATATCCGGGCATCTCCCTTAAACAAGAAACTAGATATTGATCCTCTCTATCATTCAGGGAAACAGTGCCGCCGTCCGTTCTACGGACTTAAACCACTCCTCTGCCTCTAGCGGGTCCTGTACCCTTAAATGCTGGCGGCTGGTGCTGATTCAAGCCCTGAATCGGATCACCCCGAGTTTGTACTGGCTGAGGTACCGACCCTTCTCGTCTTGTCTTGGAGGTGGTACTCTACTAGGAGTCTCGGTTCCTCCTGAACAAATCTCCCCTGACTCTCTGCTTAAACTGTTGTCAATGGCTCGAATCCTCGTTCATCAAGGGTAGAGGGAGTCAATTCTGGTGGGTTGGAGGATTCTCTCATTCATCACACTTTACCTTCCTCCTGTTACGACGCCTCATCTACAAACAACCATACTTGATCAATTCAAAAGAACACTTAAAGTAAGGAAAGATATAACTTACACAGTCGGCTATCAGACGTCTTAGCGAGAAGAATGGCATACTGTCAAATCCCAAAAATCTCGGCTCTGATACCAAAAATGTAATAGCCACTACTACTCAAATTCTCAAATAAAATACATATAAAGAATTGGGCCCAAAATTTTCTTTATTATAACTAATATATAATATTCTTTACAAACATATACATATTACACAAAATTATAATGGTACAAAGTCATCAAAAACATATAGACAGTGGTAACCGCTTCTCTCGAGCGCCGACATCCATCCGACCATGTCCTCACCTAGATCCTGCAAAACATAGGAAAATAACGGGTGAGCACAATAATGCTCCGTAAGTAAAATCATTTACTCATCTATCCCCGTAACCTCTCTCTCTAACTCTTTCCTTACAACTTCTCATTAAATTTCTCTTTGGTACTTCTCTTATTT